TTGGTTCAGATTCTGTTGCTTTTTGAAGATTTCTTTGCCTCCATGTTGTCTTAGAGATGCCATGTTGAAATAATTATGAAATAATTATGTTATTTCATAATTAATAATTATGTTTATTTAAGTTTATCTGGGATTATCTTTTAATGATCAAATATTGAGTAATTTAAGCATGACCTGAGAAAGAGAGAAACATTTACAAAGACTTGTTCACACTGACATTTCTGATCAAACAGACCAAACGCTGCCAGCAGAATCCAGCAGAACCAGTCGGACCCGACCTGAAACTGCTGCTGAATCAACTAAAGAAAGATGGCACGATCATTACTCGTAAGCCAACAAAAGCTATGCTAAGCACCGGCTTGCCAACTAATTCCCAAGCTTTCATGCCTGCAGGCGGCATGTCAGGCGACTGTAAATTAATAAAAAAAATCCAAATGTAATGGCTCTACATAATGATTGTGCAGTCATTTAAGTTTTATTTAGCATTATTTTTTATTTGTACTTATCTTGTTTTCTGGTTTCAAGAGTAAAAGTCTCCAGATTCTCTATTCTATTTGTTTGCTTTCTGCTAAAACCAGAATTATAAAAACAAAAGTATAAAACTAGTAAGTTAGCTTTCTCCCGTCCCATGTGAATTAATACATTTGCAGCAGAAACTGGAATAAAAACACTTGGAGATTTTGAGTTTTTACAGTGTAAAACCATTATTAAAATAAATGGAGAAGAGTAGGAAAAAGTAGGTAAAGTAAGTGCAGCGACGGCTCAGAAACATTTAAGCCTAAGAAGAAGAACAAAGTGCAGCAGCGCATTGTTGATCGAAGAAATGATGATGTGGATCAATTTTGGAGACATTTAACAAAGAGAGGTGAAAGTATTGTCACAATATGAAAATAAAACAGAGGAAGCTGATAAAAATGAAGCAGAGCTAATAGCAAAGGCCTTTTATGGCGTATTAACTGAAAAACATTTGTTTTTTATGTGAAGAATAGGGAGGTTGTCTTATGATGTGCTTCACAGTGTTTCCACTATATAAATGCATGATAGGTATTTGTGAATCTAAATAGAAGGACAAACAGACAACGCAAGTGAATTTTATGAAAGCTTTTGCAAAAGGAGAGAACCCAGCAAACTGCTGCTTCCAGCCGTTCACTGAGCACTCTGAAGACCCTTTGTTAGGGCTTTCTCTTTTATTACAAAGTAGAAAGTAGAAAAAGGAATGTGGAGGGAGGCAGATAGGAGTATCCCAAAGATACAAGTGGCTTCAAGGTCTGTACACAGCTGCAGCTCCAAAGTCTAACAAGTATGAGAGCTTTTCTCAGGGATGTGAATAATAAATCTATTATAGCTACCAATGTAAGAATGATAACAAAACATAATTATTCTAACATTCCCCCCTGTTTATAATTTTTACGTAGTAACTATGCAAAAAATAGTATAAAAAGAAAAAGAATGGATTACACATGTTATACAAGAGTTGTAGAATACATAATATATAATATAAGAAGGATAGAAAAAAGAAATGTAAAAGAAACATTGAAAACCAAATGCATATAATGTGGTGTTAATAATATAATAATGTTGAATGTAAGAATGAGAACACAGAAAAAAACAACAACCAAAAACAAACAAACAGCAGAAAATCAAGTGCAGTTATCATCACTAACACCATTTGTTTTCACATTTTCAGTGTAGGAGTCATCAAGCAAATGATTGAATCTGTTTATTAATTTACAAGACATCATCTCATGTACTCATTTTCCAGTCATCTTCTTTCTTCTGGAGCAACATGTAGTCCTCATCTGTGTCAGAGATTACCCTGACCAACTGATAGCTGAGCAGAGCAGTGTTAAATGTTTTTAACAGCATGCTTTGAAAACATAAAATGATGCAGGTTGTGAACAGACAGAATAGGATCAGTCCAGTCAAGATGGGTGTTCCAATGTTAAACAAAAGCTGCCACCAGAGTCTGGAGGTCAGCCAAGAAAGAAAGTCAAAAGTTTGTGAGCCCTGAGTTGCACTGTCCACAGAGTTCTTAAGCTCTTCCAAATCATGCAGGGCATCATGAATAGTTCCACCAGTTTCTCTTTCATCTCATGTTGAACCTATGATCTTGCAGACGCTTCCTTGAGAGGTTGTGAGAAAAGCCAATACAACACGGTTTTCAAAAGCATGTAAGCTCCATCTCCACACAGGAAGTACCAGTCAGCCATCACCCGTTGACCATAGTCTCCTGGCACTATGGCGCTGCAACGAGCTTTCTTCTGTCGTCCTCTCGTCTGCTGAGTGATGTCAAACGAACCTCCTTTCCTGAAGCAAATTGTGACAGTCTGGATTGTCGTTCCAGATGCTGCATCCTGAGGTTGGCTCCTGACCTCTGCAGGCGATGCAGTCGATGTATTCCGGTGTTGTTTCGCAGAAGGTGTAAACTGTGTTACACAGGTTCCATGGGAGCATTTATTTTACATTGATAGTTTCAAAACAATAATTTAAGTGGCAAATTAAATATTTGCATATAACTTAACATTTGACAACTTCCTTCAAGTGATGTGAAAAAAAAGCTGTGTTCCCATTTTGGTCCAAGATCAATAAGATATCAATCAAATCAATCAAATTTTATTTGTATAGCACATTTCAGCTACAAGGCATTTCAAAGTGCTTTACATCATAAACACAAAACACAAAGGCATGCAACATAGAATAAAATACCAAGTTTTTTTTTTTTTTCTTCCCTCTCTTTCCCTTTCTTCCCCCTTCCCTTTGACACGGAATTTAAGCGCCTGTTACAGCCGGACTCCGCCGTCCGTTTAACCACGGGTATTCGCCGGGCCCCGTTGCCCACAACAGGAAAAAAAAAAAAAAAAAATTACATACATATCCACAAATCAAATCCATACATATTACATTTCAAATGCAACTCTAAACAGGTGCGTTTTTACTCCCACAGTCCGTATTTATATGGATATCATTGAATACTTTTACGAGGGCAGTCTCCGTGCTGTGGTGAGCACGAAAACCAGACTGGAAAGTGTCAAAGCAGTTGGTCATCATGAGGAAACTATTTAATTGTTTACACACAGTTTTTTCAATAACTTTGCTGATGAATGGGAGGTTTGAGATTGGCCTGTAATTCTGCAATAGTGATTTGTCCAGGTTGTTCTTTTTTAACAGTGGTTTGATGACTGCTGTTTTCAAAGCCTGGGGGAAAACACCTGATGTAAGCGATGAGTTTACGATTTGGATCAGATCAGTAGCAATAACAGGCAGGACTTTGTTAAAGAAATGTGTGGGTAGGACATCCAGACAGCAGGAGCTTGAACTTAATTGATTTATAATTTCTTTTAGAGTTTTATAATTAAGTAGTTTAAAATGGGTCATTTTTTTCTGTATTTGTTTTGTTTTGGTACAGAAATGGTTCTGGCTTTAGAGTTGATGTGCAGATTAATCCTCTGATTTTTTGGATTTTCTCTGAAAAGAAATCAGAAAACGTATTACAGGCAACATTAGATTGGAATTCAGGTGGAAACGTCACAGGAGGGTTTGTGAGCCTGTCAACTGTTGCAAATAAAGTTCGAGCATTATTGATGTTTTTGTTTATGACATCTGCAAAGAAAGCCTCCCTTCCATGTTTTAGTGTTAAGTGATAGTTACGTAGTCTTTCTTTATAGATGTCATTATGAACGTAAAGTTGAGTTTTACGCCATTGTCGTTCTGCCCTGCGGCAGAGTTGTCTTGCAGACCGAACTATTTGTGCATTTCTCCATGGAGATTTCTTTCTACCAGTCAAAACCTTTACTTTAATTGGGGCAATGGAATCAATGATATATGAAACTTTAGACTGAAAATCATCTAACAACTGATCTACATCATTACAGCTTAAGGGTGAGGAGGAAGAGTAGATTTGATTAAATGTTTCTGCTGTGTTTTCTGTGAAAGAACGTTTTGTGACAGTAGCTGTTTGTCCAAGTGGGTCAAAGAATAAAGAACCTTCAAAGATAACAGCGAAGTGATCCGACAGGCGACATCAGTTACAGAGACATTGGAAATATTCACACCCTTACTGATAACCAGGTCCAGTGTGTGTCCTTGAGTGTGTGTTGCTTGTTTAACATGTTGTGTTAAACCAAAATTTTCTAAAATATCAGAGAGCTTTTTTGCTCCTCTGTTTTCGGGTTTGTCCACATGAATGTTAAAATCACCAACAATTATTAAACAATCATAATCAATGCATATGAGAGAAAGAAGATCATTCAAGTCAGTAAAGAAATTTTCCACATATGCTGGAGTTTTGTATAAAGTTAGTGTCAAAGTTCGTTTGAAGCCTTTAACCTGAATTCCAAGATACTCAAAAGATGTGAAATGACCGAAAGAGATTTTACTACAGTTTATGGTATTTTTAAATATAGAAGCCACCCCTCCTTTTTATGTTTTCTGTTCTCACTTAAAAAATTGTAGTCAGGAGGCGCTGATTCAATGAGTACAATTTGGTCATTATCGTCATTCAACCATGTTTCTGTCAGAAACATAACATCAACATTATACTCGGTGATGAAATCATTAATTAACAGAGCTTTAGCACAGAGTGATCTGATATTTAAAAGAGCTACTTAAGTGGCTTGGAGGCCAAAAGATTTTCAGTCTGAGGTTCCTTTAGGCAGGGGATCAATCTGAGGTTTGAATTAGGACCGCTGTATTTCATATTTCTGGTTTTTGTAAATTTTCTTGTAGTGATCCGGACAGGTAATGTCCTGTTCTGCAGAACCTGGGGGCCAGACACATTCTGGATGGAGACGGGTGTAAAGATAATTCTGGTCCCCGGCCTCAGACCTCAGAAACGCAGAGTGATGGATCCTCTGGGAAGTCAGGGCAGGTTGCTTAAATGTATACTTGACAGGTGACTGATGCACAAACAATGAGCCCTGAGGCACACCCCGTGTTCGCAGCGTTTAAAAGGTGGGAGGCTGAGCTGCTTCTGCATCCAGCCTCAGACTCCTGGACTGACAGGTAGGTACTGACTGTTATCTTAACAACAAAACTCTGTTTAGATTTGGATTTTTTCAGGTCAGAAGCTTCCCTGCAGAAAAGCAAGATGTTTAGAGTTTTCTTCTTCTTCCTCACCATCTCGATGGCAAGGACGGCGGCTGTTCCTCTGGTAAGTTGGAAGGGAGACAAATAAAACTAATTTGTTTCATCCAACATAGGGAAGCCTAATGTGTTTAGATATATTGGGTTTGCAATGCAGCATCAACAGCAAATATCCAAACCATCATGAAGCAGAAGAAATGTGGTTGACATTAAATGCTGAAATCTCTGTTTGTGTTGCAGAAAGCAGATGACAGTGAAAACCAAATCAGTGAGTAGAAAAAATAAAAGAAACCTGAAGTGAAACTGAAATCTCTGACATGTGGATTTCTTTCCTTCCTCCCACAGATGAGGACATGGATGTCACAGAAATCATCTCCAAAGCAAACGAAGGCATAAGTAAGAGAGCAATTTCACACAACCCAACAGCTTTGAATGTAATTTTATATTTGCAAGTCAAGACAAAAAAATAATCATCATCTATTAATAAATCGACTGATTCATTTCTCAGAAATTAGCTTAATGGTTTGCCTTTGTCAAATCTTCAAGCCTGATAAGAAACTGGATATTTTTTAATCTGCATAAGGAACTGTCCCTACATTTCACTAGTGATCAATCGGTTTATTTGCAGTCTGTACAATTTCTAACCAGGATAGCAAAGCATTTTAAAAATATTGTAAAAGTATAAAACAATACATTGGTTCCTTGTGTGTAATAAGAATAAGTAGTAAAAGACTCTGTACTCTCCTGGAGTGCTTTCATTGGCCAGCTCAATGCAGCATGTCTTGTTCAAGATGCAGAGGTCAAAGAATACACAAAAATCCTTTGTGTCATAAGAATCAATGTTCTTCACTCTGTTGTGTGTTTTGTGTTTCTGCAGAGACTCCACTGGTCCACGGTGACATTGCTCCGAGCAAATTGAGGAACGCAGACCCATGCACCGCCACCGGCTGCAAATGGCCCAAAACTGGAAAATATGTCTACATTCCCGTCTACATCTCCAGATCTTACTGTGAGCAAAACCAGCACCTGAATAAACACACAAGACTTTAAAATAGATGCAAACTTTTCCAAGTTCCTTCATGTTTATTTCAGAAGGCAGAGGGAACAGTAGATGATGTCTGTGTTGGAGTTTGTTTTGTAGTTAGGACCTTGGTGTAAGATGTTTTGTTTTGCAGCCACGGCAGAGCGTAACATCATCATCAATGACCTGGTGAGCTTCCACGCCTCGACCTGCATTCGCTTTGTCTGGAGGACTTCAACACGGCAAAGGGACTTCCTTCACTTCTACTCAGGATCCGGGTAGGAACTCAGTCACATACCGTGACTTTTACTTCCACACATTTCCACTGATTTCCTCCTGATCTCCCCGTCAGGTGCTGGTCCAACCTGGGCCGTCAGCGTGGAGCACAGTTTGTGTCTCTCAGGAAAAATGGCTGCATGCATCACTCCATTGTGCGGCATGAGATCAACCACGCTCTGGGCTTCCACCACGAACATGTCCGCTCTGACAGAGACTCCTTCGTCCAGGTCCTCACCCAGAACATCATCCCAGGTCGGCTCAGTCACACAACCGTGGCTTAATGCTTCTATCTGCAGAACATCTTGGTTAGATCTGAAAACAGAAGTATTTTAAACAAGTCATACATTTCTGTATTTTGCACATTTGGACACAAATGAAAAAAAAACTATTTGCATTCAGATCCATTCAGCCATTCATAGGGAACTTAATACTTTCCAAATGACCAAAATCAGAGAACTCAGCAGGTTTTTGTGTGGGAAGTTTGGAAACTGACATTTAAACTGTAAGATCACATTGCCTCATGTTCTACTTTTATCTATTGCAATGGAAAAGTGACATTTTCTGAAATAAGGTGACAATTTAAAAAGTTAACTTTTTTCTTAATCAGGGAACGAACACAACTTTGAGAAGGTGCAGACTAACAACCTGGGCACTCCCTACGACTTCAACTCCATTATGCATTACTCCAAGTGAGTCTTGGCTTCAAAAATACCTTCTATTGTGTTACACACAGCTTGCTGTTTTCAGTCTGACTGTGACTGCAGATGCATTTTGTTCATCACTTCCTCCTTCTTCCAGGACCGCCTTCTCCAGAAACGGCCAACCGACTCTCCTTTCCAAAGCTAATCCTTCCCTCAACTTTGGAAGAGCCTCATCGATGAGCGTCAACGACATCGCCCGCATCAACAGGCTCTACGGATGCTGTGAGTAAAATATTGATCTTTTCAAACATTTCTCTAGCATTTCCAGCAGCTGTATGACTTACGGTACTTTTTCTCTCAGCTTAAGTTTCAACACCATAAAGGAGAAACTTCAGCTCGCCAGCTGACCTTCGGCTCTGACCTGCTCCTCTCTCAAAATCTCAGAGCTACAGAAACTCTTCCTCTGCTGTCTCATTTACTGCATTTAACTACTTAACTACATAACTGCTGAAGACAGTTGCTGAAGAAACAGATTTTTGGGTATTACATCTCAATCTGTTAATGTCAGAATACATATTGTGCTTATTGGTGAAGGATTTCTTATCAAAAAAGGTTTTCTTTTATACTATGGTTTGGCTTTTTTTGCATCTGCTATAAAAAATGGAAAGGAATGTTTCAATTGAAGATAAATCTAAGGGGAATTTTGGTTAAGTAAATTATGTTGTGACATAAAAACTGTGTAAGATGGAAAGATGGACTGGACTGGTATAAAATATCTAAATAAAAGGCAATTATTCAAGAATGTACAATCTATGGAAATGTGAAATGTAAAAGTTCCCCAATTACATTTGGACTAAAAAGGTTTTTATCTACATAATGTTACAAGTTCTCATCCAACATGTTTTATTCTTGTGACCAACATGTTTTTTTCTGAAATTTAATGGTATTGTAATTCATGTAATCCATTCAATCAAGTACCAAATAAAATTTGATCATTCCAACATCAATGTTTCTTTCTCTCTGTAACAGTTGGACATTTGGGACAAAGATCAGGGTTTCCTTAGTGCAGCACCACAAAATAAAAGCCTCCACACTTTCAGTATGAAGTTGTTTAAAAATTAAATGCTAAAATAATGTAAAGCAGGTGAGATAAATAAAAGTATATATTCATAGACTATATTTGTGCTCTTATGCTAACCATACTCAGAGTTTTAAATGAGTTTAGATACAATAAAATGTTAATTCTTACTTTATTTTGAAGTAAGAATAAACATGGTTGTGACTTGTGAGACAGATGAGCAATGAAAACAAAAAATCAACTCCTCTATTTCCTCCTGCCATTGCCCTCTGAAGAAATGTTCCTCTCCTGGTCAAAAACCACCAATCAGAGCCAGGAGGAGGGGCTTAGCGCTGCTAATCATCCTCCTGTACTCTTTTAAATCTGCTATTGATTGAAAAGCAACTCCAAGTTACAAAAAACCTGTTTATCTACCATAATCTGTGGCTTTGCTAACTAGCAGGCTATGTTGCGGTGAGCCAGCATAGCCTGTAGTTTTGTAAAAAGCAAGAGGATGAGAGTGATGGACAGCGCTAAGACCCTCCTACTGCCTCTGATTTGCTTCTGCAGAGGATCTCGATTTTTCCACAGATTATCTGTTTTATGTGATACTGTCAGAACATAATGATAATATTAACAAGTATGTAAAAATATTTTTTCTATAAAAGTTACATTCTGGTGCTGTAAGTGATGAAACTTTTGTGATGGATACTCCTGTTACAAAGGATGTAGCTTTTAATTTGTTAGTTGAGATACAGAAACGCTGACTTACAAAATGCCAGTGTGCTTTGTGTCATAATATAAACATATTTCTGTTCTTTATGTGGTCAATATCATGACCTCCCTGCACAAATGTTCTAGAATGTTATTAGTCGATAACAACTCTACTACTTCCAATGAAAGAATAGGCAAAATAACAATGACAGGATAAAATAAGCAATGAAAGCAGAAGAAATATTGACTGAATCGCCCTAATCCTCCAGCTCCAAGGATTAAAAGAAAAGGAAAACAAACGAGTTTTCAGAAGAGATTTAAAATCACCTGGGAGAAAACAGCCCAACATTTATTTCACTTTCTCATCTGGAAGAGCTAAAAGCATTTTGTTTTCAGTTGGACTTCTGTTTTTTCCATTTTGTATTTTTGTAAAAACAGATTTGCTTCTATGTTCACGTGAGCTGCATGTTGTTAAAAGCTGCTACATTGTGCAAAGACGGGACCAAACAGTGATGCACTTCACCTGCAACTTGTAACAGCACTGGTTTATTTTGGGAACAGATTGTCCCATCTGGAATAATGATGGATATAAAAAGCTTGGTCAGCAGTTTCTTGTGTCAGACGGGATCTGAGCCTCAGCTGCTCCGTCAGGTAAACGGCTCTCTGACTCTTCTTTAACTCCCATTTGTTTTCTTCATCATGTTTACATGCTTTCAAACTGAAACAGAAAGAAAGCATATTTTCTTTTCGTGTCACGATGAAGCTTCAGGACCTTCATCATGATCCCGGTTTTTCTGTCCCTTCTCTTCAACTCAGTGGAAACTGTCGACACGGTAAGTTTATGATGGGATCAGTTCGTTTTACTGATTCACCTCACAGCTTAGACAAAACCCAAGATTTATGAAAGGCTGTTCTTCGTTTTGATTGTATTTATTTTTTAAAAAAGAAAAGTTTCAACATGTAAAAGACCAAAATGACGCAGTTTTCTTCCATCTGTGTTCCAGAGTCCTGTAGTAGAACCTGCTCAGTATCCCAGTGAGTTTGAAACAAAGATCAATTTTATCTGACACAGCAGAGGCATAAATTTAACCAAAGGTTCTGGCAACATTTCTTTCTCAGAAGAGTTTATGGATATCTTTAAAAGCATCCCACAACCACAAGCTGACAAAGGTGAGACACAAGCTCACAAAACAAAAACACCCAGCAGATAATAATGAGAAAAACGTATCATTTTAACTCTAATCCTTAAAATAACAACAAATACGCATTGTTTTGATGTCAGATGAATTTAAAATTGCAGTCTTGTTTTTGCATTCCTGTCTGTGTTTGTCTGTCATTTGCTGTGTCGCAGAGCCAAAGCGATATGATGACATTGCTATGCCAAAAATCTTAAAGAGGAATGCAGACCCGTGCACCATCACAGGCTGCAAGTGGTTCAAATCCGGAGAGTACGTCTACATACCGTACTACATCGACACTAATTACTGTAAGCATCATGTGACAAAACAGGCAAAAAAACTGACAGCTGAAGTTAAAATGACTAAACCCTCTGTTGAAACTTTAAGTTTTTTCAAAGATTTCTCAGGTGCTGTTAAACAGATCAATGATGCTTCAGTATGACTTTTCCAAACATCCTGGTTTTTATTTTGGATTCTTAAAAATCCAATTATTACCCTCTAAAGAACTGGCCTATTGATTTAGCCAAAGTGCAAACCACTGCTGTGAAATCATGTGCTTTCACTTGCATTCAGTCAATCGACAATAGAGAGACATTAGGGGCAGGCTTTCATCAAATCTCATTTTGACAGGTGCCACGCCCTTTTACAGGAAGTCCCGCCTTAGATGAACGGAAGTCCCGCCTTAGATGAACGGAAGTCCCGCCTTAGATGAACGGAAGTCCCGCCTTAGATCACCGGAAGTCCCGCCTTAGATGACCGGAAGTCCCGCCTTACACCCACCCCATCCCTCCCTTCCTCCCTTTCGAATGTGACGAGGTGCCTCCTCCTCCTCCTCCTCCTCCTCCTCCTCCTCCTCCTCCTCCTCCTCCTCCTCCTCCTCCTTCTTCTCCTCCTCGTCCTCCTCCTCGGCCTCCTCCTCCTCGTCCTCCTCCTCCTCCTCCTTCTCTTGATTTTTTCTTTTTTAAAGAGTAATACCAATACAACAACAGTTATTTAATCAAGAAAAATGTATATAATTATATACTATGCCTACTGAAGTTTAAATAGATTTGGAATGGAGATGTTACTTCTGATTCTGTGACTGGCCTACGACTGGGGTCTGAGCTGGGGGCTTGATCAATATAGGTACGGCCTGTGAAATCCCTTCGGGGGTCGTTCTCAGTGACATATGGTCTGTGTGTTAGGTTTTTCTGTTTTCTCTCTGCTGAATTCAGAAAATGCCGTATATCTGACTTTCTTTTTAAGAGTACAGCACCAACAACAGTTATTTAATCAAGTAAAATGTATATAATTATATACTAAACCTAGTGAAGTTGAAATAGATGCCGGAGATGTTGCTTCTGATTCTGTGTCTGTGTTCAGCCAGGCCTACAACTGGAGGTCTGAGCTGCGATACGCAGGGCCTGCGAGAGAAGGAATGTACTAGTTGCATACTTGCAAACTTGCAGGATGCAGACAGAATGATAAATTAGCCACCTCGGGGGAATTCAGAGCGATACAGAATGACAAATTAGCCACCTGGGGGAATTCAAGCAAGGCCCTCATGAACCCTGGTGGTTCATGAGGGCAAACCAGACCACATCTGGTTTCTCTGTTTTTCTCTGTTTATTTTTTTAAGACAGAAGAAATGTTTAGAAACACCCGCTCTCCTCCTGTCATACGATATTACAACAGGCTTCTGATTTTTCACAAGTAAAGCTCCTCAGCTGCGCCGCAGCGGGTCAATGCAGAGGGGGGAGTGCTAATTGCCTTGTTGTGTGTCTGGGGCAGTCGTGAGGGGAAAAAAAAAAAGCCCCTGCCCCCTGCAAATACATACGTCTAAAGAAAACCTGCTATTTAACTACATTATTTATGGTAGCATGACTAGTTAGTACTGACTACAAGTTTGTGATTTCTTTCATGCTTTCTCCAAAATAGTAAATGCCGGTTTAAACACATTTGAAACTCATAGATTTTTCTGTAACACTCACTAGTGTGATACATTTCAGTAAATGTTTCTCATTTGTACATGTACTTCTTAAGAATATGTGACTGTTTGTAAGCAGGCCAACGGGAGGTTATTCAAATTAAACTTTTAACTTTCCTTGGTTAAAGAATTTGTCCAGAATTTTCCAAAATTTATCCTCGCATCATTGTAAATGCTACTTTGGTTCAATTTTTTTCCTGCTGCTGAATCAACACTGATCTTCCCAGAGCTTCATGCTTTCTCCAAAATAGTAAACGCCGGTATAAACACATTTGAAACTCATACATTTTTCTCTGTAACACTCGCTAGTGTGAAACATGTCAGTAAAAGTTTCTCATTTGTAAATTTATTTCTTAAGAATATGTGACACTTATT